CATGCAACCGAGACTTGGTTTGCATGTACTATAGAACAAACGACTAAGGACAAAAGACTTACCAGTTTCAGAACTCAGAACTGTTCGGTTCAGAATGAAGCTTATGACGCCGGGAACGCTTCTACGGTTTCTGAATGATAATCGGAGAAGAGAAATGGTGAGTTTTCTTAGAGAGAGGATAGAGTTTCTAGTGAGAAGGAGGAGAAAATGAAAAGATCAGAGTTTGGAAAGAAGGGTGCATGCAGAGTAGAGTGGGACGGAAATTTCAGAAACAATCATTTTCTTCCCACGTCCAAACGAGTGTCCGCTCTACTGCCGACACCTGCCTTCCACTATCTGATTTCAGAATCCTAATTGCTTGACACCTGGCGTCTGCGCAGAGGGGTTTTGGGTGCGTTTTAATGAGGTCTGACATTCCCTCCAACTACAAAAATTTTCGTCCTCGAAAATTAAAACTTACCCGTAAACAGATGGGGATACAAGTCCCTCATGGCATCCTCCACTTCCCATGTAGAGTCGTCAATCTTCTCGTCCCAGACCACTTTCACCAAACGGATGGCTTTCCTCTTGTAGTACTTGGTGCGGCTGTCTTCAACGCGAACCGATTGCATCTCCAACGTTCGATCTTGATGAAGACGAACGCCCTCTAACTCCAGTATGTGGGAAGGGTCAGTTATGTACTTCCGGAGTTGGGAAACGTAGAAGACTGGATGAAGATTAGACAGTTGAGGAGGCAAGGATAACTCGTACGCCACTGGTCCAATCTTCCTCAAGATTTGATAAGGTCCGACGAACTTGGGGGATAACTTCTTAGGTTGAACGGCTCTGCCTACTCCAGTGGTCGGGTTCAGTCTAAGAAAGTCATGATCTCCTGCAGCGAATTCCAAAGGCCTTCTCCTCTTGTCTGCATACGACTTCTGCCGACTCCTTGACGTCTTCAACCTCTCTTGGATCAACTTCACCTTCTCAGTCGTCTGCTGAATAAGCTCAGGTCCCGTCAACACCTTCTCTCCTTCTTGAAACCAACATAGTGACGTGCGACACTTCCTTCCGTAGAGAGTTTTTATTTATGATGATTTCTTAAATAATTTTTGTCTTAAATAATTTATGATGTTTATTCATTTAATAATTTTTAAGATTTAATCATATAAATAGTTTTTATTTATGATGATTTCTTAAATTTTTTTGTCTTAATTAAATTTTTATTTTTGGAAAAATTAAATAATTCGGTTCTTATCATACCATTAAAAAATGTCACGTGAGTTTATGTTTTTTTTTTAATTTTTAAATATTTTTTAATTAATTCTTTTTTATTTTTTTTAAATAAAAAATTGTCAAGTGTCAAGCTGACATTGTGTTACTTAGCAAGAACAATGTGACATGACACTAATAGTGCCACGCGTCATGTCACGCTACATGTCATTACATTAATGACATTTGCTCTTGTAGTTTTATTTTGTCTCAATTTAATTCTAATTTTTTTAAAATCAAACAATTTGTTTCTTTATATATTCAAACGAAATTTAATTTGTATATAATCATTACAAATATTTTTAACACGATTAAGTTTTTTTGTACTTATATTTAATTAATTATATAAATGTTAATTATGTTTTTTAAATATATCTAAAAAAGTTAAAAAAACAGTGACATGACACAATGTAGACTTTTGAAGTAATGTGGCTCGGAACCTATTATTTTTTAAATAAGTATTATTTATTTTTTTATTTTAAATTATTAATTAAAAAAATAATATAAATTAAATATAGATAAAGCTTTTTTCATGAAGCCATGTTTATTGGTATCTTAATAGACAACATTTTTTTAAAATAAGCGTTGTTTATTGGTTCTGTGTATTGATTTATAACACTTATTTAAAAAATCGTTGACTGGTGGCCGCTGTCTATTCACATTTTTGTAGTAGTGCAAGTTCTGTGTTATGGGTTTTGGATTCTAGGTTCTAGTTTCAGATTTATGGGTTATAGGTTCAGGATGTATGGTTTATATTTTGGACTTGTGATGTGGGGTTTTGGGTTTTGGATTTATAATTTGTGGTTTAAAGGTTTTAGTGATTATGGTTTTATAGGGGTTTTGGTTTAAAGTTTATGGTTTAGGGATTCTTAGGGTTTTGGGTTTTTGGTTTAAGGATTTATGGTTTTAGGGGTTTAAAGGTTTATGGGTTACAGGTTTATGGTTTGAGATTTATTGTTTAAGGTTTAAGGGTTTTATAATATAGGCTTTAGAGTTTATGATTTTTCAGGGGTCTTTGTTTAGGGTTGGGGTTTGAGGTTGGAATTTAGGGCTTAGGGTTTTTAGGTTTAGGATTTGAGGTTTAAGGTATTGGCCTAATCCCTAGTTATGAACCTCTTTGGGAGTTTAATGTCCTCTCTCTCAGTCGTTGTTATGTCCCCTATGGCTCATAGGGTTTCGGATAAGAAAAGAAATAAAAACAAAGGAGGAGGAAGAGAAGATAATAAAGAAGAAAAGGGAAGAAGGAGTCTTCGAATGTAAGCGTGCCTTCAACCCCAATCCTTTCTCGTCAATTTCTTTGGGCTTCTCGGCCTAGCCCTAAGAAAGAAGTAACATAGATAAAGAGAAAATAAATAAGGACAACAAATAAAAATAAAACCAAGTTTCATTCCAACTGTTTTTTTAACAATCATCCTTAGCACTTTATCCTTAAGCCAATAAATTTTCACTGAGTATTTATTCATTTAATATTCTTTTATGGTTTAATCACACAAATAGTTCCTATTTCTAATGATTTTTCCTAAATAGGTTCCTCATTTATTTTGTTTCAATTGGATCTCTACTTTTGAAAAAATTAAGCAATTAGGTCCTTGTCGTTAGTTTCGTACTAACACCGTTTAAAAATATGTCACATATCAGTTTGTGGTTTTTTTGAATTTTTTATATATTTTTTTAGGGATTATGGTTTTTTAGGGGTTAGTTTAGGATTTAGGGCTTTAGGCTTCAGGTTTTGGCCTTAGGGCTTGGAGTTTTGGGTTTTTTGGTTTAAGCATTTAATGGTTTTATGATATTAAGATTTAGGATTTAGGGTTTAAGATTTATTGTTTATGAGTTTAGGGTTTAGGGGTTAAAGTTAGGGGTTATGGTTTAGGGTTTAAGATTTATGGTTTATGAGTTTTAGGGTTTAGGATTTACGACTTAGGGTTTATGGTTTATGATTTATAGTTTAGGGTTTAAGGTCTAGGGTATAGGGTTTTGCGTTTTCGATTTTTAAACAACCTAATACATTCTTCCTACGTTTTTCCCACAACCTTCTTACAACTTCCCAACAATCTTCTTACACGCTTCTTACACCCTTCTTAAAACTTTTTTACATTCTTTCTACACCCTTTTTACATTCCTTTTACCCCTTCTTACACTCATTCTACACCTTTTGTATACTTTTTTACACCCTTTCTACATCCTTTCCGTATCTTTTTCCACCCTTTTTACATCCTTTTTACATAATTTCTACACCATTTCCACATCCTTTGTACAACATTTCTACACCTTTTGTACTTTGTATACCCTTTGTACACACTTTATACATCCTTTCTACACCTTTTCTACACCCTTTTTACACTCTTTCTACACCATTTATACAACCCTTTTACCACCTTTCTACACTCTTTATACACCCTTTCTACAACCTAAAACACTCTGGCACATGATTCCTAATACCTTCGAACAACCTTTTTACACCCTTCATAAACCATTTTTACATCCTTCCTAAACCATTTCTATACCCTTCCTAAAACATCTTACACTCTTCTTACATCATTCCTACTCACTTACGACAACTTTCCTACATCTTTCTAGAAATGCTTTTTCTTGTATAAAAGAAGGGATTACCCGATCCATTTCTATATCGGTCATGATATATATAATAATTCGAGCACCCTTTTCAAATGCATATCAAATCTTTGCACATCAGGGTTTAGGGGCTCTAAGGGCTTTGAGGGCTCTAAGGGCTTTGAGGGCTCTAAGGGCTTTAGGGCTCTAAGGGCTTCGAGGTTTCTAAGGGCTTCGAGGTCTCTAAAGGCTTTGAGAGCTCTAAAGACTTTGAGGGCTCTAAGGTCTTTTAAAGGCTCTAAGGGCTTCGAGAGCTACAAAGGCTTTGAGGGCTGCAATGGCTTTGAGGGTTCTAAGGTCTTTTAAGAGCTCTAAAAGCTTTTAGAGCTAGAAGGACTATTAGAGCTCTAAGGGCTTTTTGGGGCTCAAAGGACTTTTTGGGCTCTAAGGACTTTTGGGGTTCTAAAGCCTTGTTGGGCTTTTAAGGGCTCTAAGGGGCTTTAGAATTCGAAGGGCTCTTAGAGCTCTTAGGACTTAAGGGCTCTAAAGGCTTTAAGAGTTCTAAGTACTTTTAGTGATCTAAGGGCTCTTATGGCTCTAAGGGTTGTTAGAGATATAAAGGTTCTAAGATCTATAAGGGCTTAAAGACCTCTAAGAGCTCTAAGGACTAAGGTCTGTTAGGGTCTCATGACTGTTAGGCTCTAAGGGTTATTATACCTCTAAGAGTTGTTAGGACTCGAAGGGTTATTAGAGCTTTATGGGCTATTAGGGCCCTAAGGGTTGTTAGGGCTCCAATGTCTGTTTTGGCTCATAGGATTGTTAGGGATCTAAAGGCTATTAGCACTGTGAGGGTTGTTAGTGCTCTATGGGCTGTTGCTGCTCTATAGGCTGTTAGGGCCCTAAGGGCTATTAGGGATCTAAGCGCTCTTTGGGGTTTAAGTTATCTAAGCGCTATTAGGGTTCTAAGGGCTATTAGGACCGTAAGGGCTTTTATGCCTCTAAGAGCTTTAGGGGATCTAAGGAAATTGAGAGTTGTATGGGTTTTGAGGGCTCTACAGGCTTTTAGGGCTCTAAAGCCTTCTTGGGCTTTTAGAATTCGAACGGCTCTTAGGGCTGTTAGGGCTCTTAGGGATATAAAGGCTCTAAGGACTATAAGGGTCGTAAGAGCTCTAAGGATTCTAAGGGTTGTTAGGACTCTAAGGTCTGTTAGGACTCAAACGTCTGTTAGGACTCAAACGTCTGTTAAGGCTCTAAGGATTATTAGGCCTCTAAGGGCTGTTAAGGCTTGAAAAGCTTTTAGGGCTCCATGGGCTATTAAGGCCCTAAGGGCTATTAGGTATCTAAGGGTTCTTTGGGCTTTAAGTTATCTAAGGGCTATTAGGGCTCTAACGACGGTTAGGGCTCTAGGAGCTATTAGGACTCTAAGGTCTTTTAAGGCTCTAAGGGTTTTAGAAACTCTAAAGGATTTGAGGGCTCTAAGGGCTCTAAGGGCTTTAAGGTTTCTAAAGGCTTTGAGGACTCTAAAGGCTTCGAGGGCTTTAAAGTTTTTTTATGGCTCTAAGGGCTTCNTAAATTAAATATAGATAAAGCTTTTTTCATGAAGCCATGTTTATTGGTATCTTAATAGACAACATTTTTTTAAAATAAGCGTTGTTTATTGGTTCTGTGTATTGATTTATAACACTTATTTAAAAAATCGTTGACTGGTGGCCGCTGTCTATTCACATTTTTGTAGTAGTGCAAGTTCTGTGTTATGGGTTTTGGATTCTAGGTTCTAGTTTCAGATTTATGGGTTATAGGTTCAGGATGTATGGTTTATATTTTGGACTTGTGATGTGAGGTTTTGGGTTTTGGATTTATAATTTGTGGTTTAAAGGTTTTAGTGATTATGGTTTTATAGGGGTTTTGGTTTAAAGTTTATGGTTTAGGGATTCTTAGGGTTTTGGGTTTTTGGTTTAAGGATTTATGGTTTTAGGGGTTTAAAGGTTTATGGGTTACAGGTTTATGGTTTGAGATTTATTGTTTAAGGTTTAAGGGTTTTATAATATAGGCTTTAGAGTTTATGATTTTTCAGGGGTCTTTGTTTAGGGTTGGGGTTTGAGGTTGGAATTTAGGGCTTAGGGTTTTTAGGTTTAGGATTTGAGGTTTAAGGTATTGGCCTAATCCCTAGTTATGAACCTCTTTGGGAGTTTAATGTCCTCTCTCTCAGTCGTTGTTATGTCCCCTATGGCACATAGGATTTCGGATAAGAAAAGAAATAAAAACAAAGGAGGAGGAAGAGAAGATAATAAAGAAGAAAAGGGAAGAAGGAGTCTTCGAATGTAAGCGTGCCTTCAACCCCAATCCTTTCTCGTCAATTTCTTTGGGCTTCTCGGCCTAGCCCTAAGAAAGAAGTAACATAGATAAAGAGAAAATAAATAAGGACAACAAATAAAAATAAAACCAAGTTTCATTCCAACTGTTTTTTTAACAATCATCCTTAGCACTTTATCCTTAAGCCAATAAATTTTCACTGAGTATTTATTCATTTAATATTCTTTTATGGTTTAATCACACAAATAGTTCCTATTTCTAATGATTTTTCCTAAATAGGTTCCTCATTTAT